ATAATTTGTAGCAAAATTTGTTTGCAGATGACACTTGGTTTTATATTTTATACTGTATAATGCAATGATATACATGTATTTTTAAGTATGACTTGTGTTGTTTTGGAGCCGCTGTACCTAAGAGAGTTTTCTTCTCTTAGCATATTGACAAGGTGTTCAAACAGAAAGATCTGCAACAACAACTGGTAGATGCAAAGCTTCATCAGGCACAGGCACTGCTCAAGGGCTCGGAGGATCGGCATCAGAAGGAGAAAGACTTTGTGAGTTTTTTAACACTGTACTGCAAACATGCAGTCAGCTGAAGTTATAGAAACAAACATATTTGCTAATTGAGGAGATGAATGTACCATAACTGTACTGTGAGACTTGCACTATATATCTGCCAGTGTGGTTATGCCCTCTGGGCAAGAGCTGCCAGTCACTAATTAAGATTTATGTGGTTTGTCATTTCTTTCTTTTTCAGCTCCTGAAAGAGGCAGCTGAGTCCCAGAGGATGTATGAGCTCATGAAACAGCAGGAAGTCCATCTGAAACAGCAGGTGAGGAACATAGAATAGATCACACACCTATAGGACAGCTCCAGTTATTAGTTAGAAAAATAATAATTTTACAACAATAATTTTACAAAAATATAAAAATAAATGAACTTTCTATTTATCAAAGAATACTGGAAAAAAAGTATCGCAGTTTACACAAAAATATTAAACCGCACAAATGTTTTTAACATTGATAATAAGAAATTCTTCTAATGCACCAAATCAACATATTAGACTTTGATTTCTGAAGAATCATGTGACGATGAAGACTGGAGTAATGATGCTGAAAATTCAGCTTTGCGTCACGGGAATAAGTTACATTTTAAAATGTATTAAAATAGAAAATGGTACTTTTGAAATTGTAACAATATTTGACCATATTACTGTATTTTTTGTAAAATTAATCCAGCATTGGTGAGCAAAATAGACTTCTTTCAAAAACACTAAAGGGATAGTTCACCCAAACATGAAAATGCTGTCATTACTCACCCACATGTTGTTCCAAACCCGTAAGACTTTCGTTCATTTTCAGAACACAAATTAAGATATATTTGACGAAATCTGAGAGCTTTCTGACCCTCCATAGAAAGCAAGGGAACTAGCACATTCAAGGCCCAGAAAGGTAGAAAGGACATCGTTAAAGCAGTCCATGTGACATCAGTGGTTCAACCTTAATTTCACGAATCTGCAAGAATACTTTTTGTGCACAAAGCAAACAAAGATAATGACTTTATTCAACAAATTCTTCTCTTCCGTGTCAGTCCCCGCTGTACGTTCACGAGAGTATCACGATGCATGTGTGTGGTGCTGCTGACGCAGGAGCCGCCGTTCTGACGTAGGACATCCATCTCTCTTAGTTCATTGTCTGTATTCTGGTTCAGATAAGTACGGCTGGGCAAAAAATTGCAAGTCATCCTCTCTGTCAAAATCTTCAGACATGTTTATGAAGACTTATGTACAGTGTGCATCTTCTGCTTGTAAAGGTGCAGCGCATGCATGTTCTACGTCAGAACGGCGGCTCCTGCGTTAGCAGCACCACACACATGCGTCTTGATACTCTCGTGAACGTACAGCTGAGACTGACATGGAAAAGAAGAGTTTGTTGAATAAAGTCGTTATTTTTGTTTGCTTTGGGCACAAAAACTATTCTTGTAGATTCATAAAATTAAGGTTGAACCACTGATGTCACATGGACCGTTTTAACGATGTCCTTTCTACCTTTCTGAGCCTTGAACATGTCAGTTACGTTGCTGTCTATGGAGGGTCAGAAAGCTCTGGGATTTCATCAGAAATATCTTAATCTGTGTTCTGAAGATGAACCAAGGTCTTACGGGTTTGGAACGACATGAGGGTGAGTAATTAATGACAGAATTTTAATTTTTGGGTGAACTATCCCTTTAAGAAATTTTACTAACCCGAAACTTTTGAAAAGTAGTGTATATTTACGTTGAATGCGGGATCTACCAACTACCCAGAACTCCCTAGCGTTGTTTTTTACACAGTCAAGCGGCAATTAGAAAAATGTGTTAACTTTTCATGTGTTTATCTTAAGTTAATCTGAGGCTAAAATTTATTTTTTGTCTTTTACAGCTCTCATTGTACACGGAGAAGTTTGAAGAGTTTCAAAACACACTTTCCAAAAGCAACGAGGTGTTCACAACATTCAAACAAGAGATGGAAAAGGTAAATGACTGTTTAATAATTATTGGATGCTGTGGATTCATGTGGACTTCAAGGCCTGTATACATGCATAGATCTTGGGCGTTGTTACATATTTCACAACATGAAACCTAAATCTCTAAAGCCTGTATGTGAAGGTGATTTAATCTGTATTTGTATTGTGCCGCAGATGACAAAGAAGATTAAGAAGCTGGAGAAGGAAACCACCATGTACAGATCACGATGGGAAAGTAGTAACAAAGCCCTGCTGGAAATGGCAGAGGAGGTGATTGTTGTACTCAAATCTCTTGTATTTGTCAGTTAAAGCTTTGTTACACCAGCTGAATATCTTAGTTTTATGTCATTTCTCTCTGTGTCCACTGTAGAAAACACTACGAGACAAGGAGTTCGAAAGCCTGCAAGTGAAGGTCCAGCGACTGGAAAAGCTCTGTCGTGCGTTACAGATGGAACGCAACGAGCTGAGTAAGAAGGTTCAGGGTGTCTCCACAGGCATTGAGAGTAAGCCAGAAACAGAGACGGGGTCACCATCAGAAGCCACAGACTCGGAGGAGGGCAGCCCTGTCCATCAGAACAACCCAGAGACTCCACAGACCGCTTGTAGCCCGGCGTGCCACTGCGCTCCAGAACTAGAGGCCGAAACTCACAGAGAGGTTTGCTCAGCCCAGGATTGAGTCTTGCTGTTTCTGGGCGGCCAGGACACACACAATCCTTCCCGCCTCTACCCGACCCCCGACCCTCTGTCGGCAGTCAGCCTCTGTTGTTTTCTGCATCTGTGTCCACAACGGAACCGCTGACTTGGCTGCTCCTGGGGTGGGGGGGTTTCATTGTGTCAGGGAAGATTGTGCCTTCAACATGATTCCTATGCTGCGTTTATATTCTTTGGTTTTTATGTGGCTTGCTTTATCCCACCCTATTCCCGAGAAAATCCCATATTTGCGTTTAGAGGGGCATAGATGTTGCTGCTGTGTCGGAATGCTCAGTGTTTGTCCACTAAATGCTTGTCTCTTTTCAGTTTGGCTGAATAAAAACGTAAAGAATCTTAACAGGTGGATTGCTGAAATCGGTGAAAAATTCTTTGCCGTGAAACAGCAGTTAGGTGATACTATTTCTTTGGGTGTTTTTATTTAATTTCTCGCCTTAAGTTGTTGTACCAGGTCAAATTTGCTTGTACACTTTCCAGCCGCCCTCTTTCTTCGGTTTAAATCCCACAAATCCTAGTTTGCACCAAACAAAGAATGTATGATTTGTTATTCATCTTCACTACTCAGAGTTTAGAATTGTAGGCGTACAGTTAAGACTAACATTGTTTTTTGAGGTTAAGGTTCATGTAATCTGAGCCTAGATTTTTTAAATGCTTTTGCACAGCACTTGAATTTGTCACATGTATCTTTTAGTTTACACCATCTTAGAGCACCACTAGCTTCTTTGATAAGTTTATATATCCACCGTTATAGATACATTCCTTTAACCCAATTCCATTAACTTGTAATTAGCAATGTGCTCTTGAATGTTTCAGTGTGTGATTTCAGTTTGGACAGTTTTTTTTTTAGATACTGATCACATGGTTGTTTGTGTCTTACTTGATGTGTTATTCAAAATGTAAAAAAAGAAAGCCCAGATTAAACAGGAAGATTCAAGTACACTCTATGCAATTCTAGCTTTGTCTAGCTCTGTGAAATGAATGTACGTTCCACACAAAGTGACTTAGTTTTGAGATGTCAGTCAATTTCAGCACTCTTGAATTGTTTCCCTCCAATACCTTTGACAAAGTATTGTTGTGCCCCTTCAGTACTGGTAAAGTGTTGAGTGTAAAGTGCATCAAGTCATCCGTGGACCATGTAAATCCTTCCATATTTCATTCCAGTCAGTCAAGGTTTCTGCACAGGTTTCGATTTTCTGTTTCAAAATGTTTGTCAACTGGTATTTGATTTTATTTGCTGGCCATTAGATACTGATCACATGGTTGTTTGTGTCTTACTTGATGTGTTATTCAAAATGTAAAAAAAAGAAAGCCCAGTTTCATCAGATTAAACAGGAAGATTCAAGTACACTCTATGCAATTCTAGCTCTGTCTAGCTCTGTGAAATGAATGTACGTTCCACACAAAGTGACTTAGTTTTGAGATGTCAGTCAATTTCAGCACTCTTGAATTGTTTCCCTCCAATACCTTTGACAAAGTATTGTTGTGCCCCTTCAGTACTGGTAAAGTGTTGAGTGTAAAGTGCATCAAGTCATCCGTGGACCATGTAAATCCTTCCATATTTCATTCCAGTCAGTCAAGGTTTCTGCACAGGTTTCGATTTTCTGTTTCAAAATGTTTGTCAACTGGTATTTGATTTTATTTGCTGGCCATTCAAATTTGACATTCCCATGAATGTACCAAAGATGTTTCTCGATTTCCCCTCACAACCTGTATACGTTTATTTGCCAATTAAAATACTAAGAACATTAAAATGTGATTTATGTTTTCATTGTTGATAAACTGATGATAACGTAAACTAATAACTTTGCCTGCATGGTTGAGAAACAAAACTTTAAAATAGAAAAACTAAACGTTTATATTGTGTAAATTAAGTATTAAATTAGTAAGTATATATGCATGGTATTTTTGTATTAGTAATGCTCAATGTTTGAACTCGATTTAACCGCACTCAATGTTCGAGGGGCATAATAATAGAACAAAACAATAAACCTTTCATTTACCGGCCATTCTAATACAAATGAGATGTTGGTTGTGTTCTCGGTTGTAAAACTGAAGATATTAAATGTACCGTGTTATTTTGTTGTTATTAAAGACCGGGCCGTTAGAATTGTTTATTGTTCAGCGGGGACCTGTTTTTGTCTGTACCGGAAGTGAAATCCGTCCTTTCCGTTGGTAACCGGGCGAAGTTGAGCACGCGTACCGCGTACCGTCTATTTTTTTTTATTATTCCTACGGCAGGTTTAAATATAATTTCTGTTATATTCTGTCGATACAAAGCGGGAGATAATGGTAAGCCTAGTTCTATGTATTTTCTGAGCTATTAAATGACTTGCACACACACCGGAAGTCTGTTGACCGCTGGTTTTGATTAGTTAACAGATGCTAAGTTTCAAATTTGGCGAAATACTAGGTCCTTCATATGATTGTAACAGGACACCAGTGACTGTATTGAGACAATACGAGGAAGAGCAGGAACACTTCCAGCAATGCATCCAGTCTTGTGTAACTGACACAGTCGCTTGTCGTGTGTTAAATGAGCTTTAACGCACTCGTGCTTCATGTTTGGCATAGAAACCCATTCTCCTGCAGGGCCATGAGAGGTCCATCACCCAGATCAAATACAACAGAGAAGGAGATCTCTTGTTCTCAGTGGCCAAGGATCCAGTAAGTGATCAACTACACAGGAAAACATCCCAGTCTTGTTTTTTGTTGTTATGTTTCACATGTATTTTGTCATCATAGATTGCGAATGTGTGGTACTCTGTCAATGGAGAAAGGCTCGGCACTTACACTGGACACACAGGTGCCGTCTGGTGTGTGGATGCTGACTGTATCCTTTCTAAAAGATCTTCTGGACTGGTGGAGCAATGCTAAATCTCATTAAGTTGTTCGTTTACTAAATCAATTTGGGTATAGGTGAATGTTTGACCTGCACTCTTCTTTAGTCATTTGTTTTTGGAAAAGTTGTTCTTAACATGTTGCAAAGGGGACACTAAGAACGTATTGACGGGATCTGCTGATAACAGCTGCAGGCTCTGGGACTGTGAGAATGTGTGGTACTCTGTCAATGGAGAAAGGCTCGGCACTTACACTGGACACACAGGTGCCGTCTGGTGTGTGGATGCTGACTGTATCCTTTCTAAAAGATCTTCTGGACTGGTGGAGCAATGCTAAATCTCATTAAGTTGTTCGTTTACTAAATCAATTTGGGTATAGGTGAATGTTTCACCTGCACTCTTTAGTCATTTGTTTTTGGAAAAGTTGTTCTTAACATGTTGCAAAGGGGACACTAAGAACGTATTGACAGGATCTGCTGATAACAGCTGCAGGCTCTGGGACTGTGAGACAGGTTGGCAGTTTAGTGCAGTATCACATACACAAATACCTCTGTTCCTTTCTTGACACATGACAGAGATTCCAACAAAGGGATACGTTTATTAACATTTTAAATCAAACTGCAAGTGCTGATTATTGAAACCAATTTGAATTTTGTCAAGAATTGAAACGTATTGATGTTTTTTTTAGTTTGAATGTTAAATATATTTGAGATATTAGTATTTTAAAATAAAACTTCAGTAGCATACCGTTCTTCTTTGCAATCAAACATTTGTGACCCGTGCTGGCAAAATGAGTCCGAATGCGCACGGTCTAATTTTGAATCACTTGCTGCTCTTGATTGAACTGCTTTTGTAGTTTTAAAAATCGTATTTATTTTTCATGAACACACTAAAGGGATTTTTACATTTGATTACTTGTTTTTCTTGAATGCTTTTGTTTAGACGTAAAATGAAAAAGGTTATGTGCTATTAGTTTTTTTTCTTATATTCTACTGTGTTTTTGCATCTGTTCTTATTTATAATAACAGAGATCAAATAAAAAAATTGCTATATTGTGATTATTAGTATAGAAATGATTATTATTAAGAAAAGAAGTGGAGGAAAAGATGCAACGTTGCAGGTGATTTTGCTTTGGAACCTTCCGAAAACTTGAACTGGATTTTTCTCAACCTTGACTTTGCTGACTCTTGACTATCGTCAGACAGGTTTAGCTCAAGACATCATACATCATTCTGAAGGTCTTTTAATGGAGAATGTGAAAATGTAAAAAACTCATTTTGCCAGCATGGGTCATATTTTAAAATTGTCAATTTTTTTAATAATACATAATAATAATTGAACTTTTCTTAATTTTCTCAGTAACTTCAGCCTTTTATTTTTTTGACAATCCCCAGATGGTCACAACATCTACATATTGTTGTTAATAATACTGCTGATAACAGCTGCAGGCTCTGGGACTGTGAGACAGGTTGGCAGTTTAGTGCAGTATCACATACACAAATACCTCTCTGTTCTGTTTTGTTTAGACGTAAAATGAAAAAGGTTATGTGCTATTTGTTTTTTTTTTCTTATATTCTACTGTGTTTTTGCATCTGTTCTTATTTATAATAACAGAGATCAAATAAAAAAATTGCTATATTGTGATTATTAGTATAGAAATGATTATTATTAAGAAAAGAAGTGGAGGAAAAGATGCAACGTTGCAGGTGATTTTGCTTTGGAACCTTCCGAAAACTTGAACTGGATTTTTCTCAACCTTGACTTTGCTGACTCTTGACTATCGTCAGACAGGTTTAGCTCAAGACATCATACATCATTCTGAAGGTCTTTTAATGGAGAATGTGAAAATGTAAAAAAAACCTTCATTTTTGAAAAATTGCTCATTCTGACTCATTTTGCCAGCATGGGTCATATTTTAAAATTGTCAATTTTTTTTAATAATACATAATAATAATTGAACTTTTCTTAATTTTCTCAGTAACTTCAGCCTTTTATTTTTTTGACAATCCCCAGATGGTCACAACATCTACATATTGTTGTTAATAATAATAATAATAATAATAGTCAAACCATTTTTAATTTCCTCAATTTAAGCCTTTTAATTTTTTACTATCTCCAGACAGTCATATGTCTGCATACTGTTTGTGTAATATTAATATCTTACATTTAAATCACAGAGGCTTATTATTATTAGTACTATTATTAATAAAGTGTAAACTTAATTTTCTCAGTAATTTCAGCCTTTTTTTAATTTTTACAATCTCCAGACAGTCACACCACCTGCATATTGTTTTAAAAATATTATAATAATTCTACATTTTCTCAATTTCTCCCCTTTTTTTCTCATTTTGCCAGCATGGGTCATATTTTAAAATTGTCAATTTTTTTAATAATACATAATAATAATTGAACTTTTCTTAATTTTCTCAGTAACTTCAGCCTTTTATTTTTTTGACAATCCCCAGATGGTCACAACATCTACATATTGTTGTTAATAATAATAATAATAATAATAGTCAAACCATTTTTAATTTCCTCAATTTAAGCCTTTTAATTTTTTACAATCTCCAGACAGTCATATGTCTGCATACTGTTTGTGTAATATTAATATCTTACATTTAAATCACAGAGGCTTATTATTATTAGTACTATTATTAATAAAGTGTAAACTTAATTTTCTCAGTAATTTCAGCCTTTTTTTAATTTTTACAATCTCCAGACAGTCACACCACCTGCATATTGTTTTAAAAATATTTTAATAATTCTACATTTTCTCAATTTCACCCCTTTTTTTTTTTACCATCTCCAGACAGTCACACCACCAGCATATTGTTTTAAAAATATGAATACTTAAAAAAATATTAATATTTTTCAATTTTTTATACAATCCCCACAGTAAAAAAAACACCTGTACATTAAATGTAAAGCCTTACAAAACTATATATATATATATATATATATATATATATATTTATTTATTATCTCAAAGAAAAGCGTCATGTCTTTATTCTATTTGTCCAGTGTTGTAAGTTGAGCTTTATTTCACAAACCACTAAAAAAAACCCTAATAT